GAACTACACTTATTCAGTCGGATTATTCATGCTTTTACATGTTCCGTTTTTGTTTTTTTTTTATTTTTAACAGACACAGAGTCAAATAGGGTAAAAATTCCATCAAAACGGCTCCAAGACATCTGTATATGTTTACAAAACTAGAAATAGTTTTTTATTCTTCAGTTGTAGAAATCTAGAATTCAGGGAAAATTCATAGAAACTGCAATGTTTACAAATACCGGAAGTCACGCATCATACTGACCCGTGATTGGCTTATTTACCGTTTAGTCGCAGGGACTGGTCGCACAAACAGTTCACACGAAGGGACAAACATTTGTTTCATGCGACAAGTCCCTGCGACTGGTCGCACGAATTCAAACCAGTTTGAATTCGTGCGACCAGTCGCAGGGACCAAATTTTGGTCCCTGCGACCACAGAAATGTGTAGTTCACACGAAGGGACTAGTCGCATGAAACTGGTCGCTGGGACTAGTCGCAGGGACTAGTCCCCTCGTGTGTGCCGACCTTAAAGCTAAGCTATCTCTTGAGGATCACGATCCTCAACTATTCAATTCAACAACAGAATTGTGGTAGACTTCGTCTCCTTTTGTAAAGACATTACAAAAGTAGTCACAGCTACTTGCCTTCGTAGCATTACATGCTCACAGAGACAATCATGTGTAAGCTGGAGAACCACGCGGTCCAGAAAGGTTAACATATTTGCCTGTCCAAATTTATTGAAATATATTAGACCATTTATGCAAACATTCAAGGCGATTCACAAATAACTTTTTTCACACACAAGAAGTTTGAAAGTTGTACACACTTCATTGGCTTAAAATTCTAAAAATTGGCCATTCCATTTCATTGCGTAATATTTCAGAAACTTTTATTCTTGAATGGCAATGACTAGGCCAGGAGACAATTAAGAACTCATGATAAGTTGACCTCTCGTGTGGACTACAGCGACTCTCTACTTTATGGCGTCTCATAGTATTGGTCAGATTGTCTTCAAGAGTACTTCACGCCGCCGGTAGATTAAATTTTGGACTATCTAAATTTGATCATATCTCATCTACTTTACACCCCTTAGTTTATATTCCTGCAAGGATCGCTTTCAGACATTAGTTTTAACTGTTACGTCTGGTCTACATGGCTCTCAACAATCAAGAAATCTAAAACTACTCCCAGGACATTACTGAGATGATCGCGCTTTTGGTGATCGCGCTTTTGCCCACTTGGAACCTTTCTTCGGAACAATCTTCGTCGTGAGATACTCTGACTGTTTTTACATCAAAGTCAAAGACTTACTATTTTAAATATGCATACAATTTGTCACGGTCTTAATCCTAGACCACATACATTTGAATTGTTTTAATTTTTACGCATATTTATTCCTTGTGATTTCAATTTTAAACGTACAATGGCAAGTAATTTGGAACATTTTACAACGTAAGCGCTATATGCATCTGATTTATTTATTAATAAGCGTAACTAGAATGAAAGAACCTGAGGAGCGCTTCCAATGGCTGCCACTGCTTCCTCAGATTCATTGTTGTCTCTTGCAAGGTTTACTTGGGTGGAGAACTGCGCACCACATGGCTCTTCCTGCCAAAATCAAATTTGGGAAATTTTGACAAATATTAACATAATTCTGAATCAATGCAATATTTCGGCTGAGAGTACATCACGTGGCCTGTGAATATTAGACTGCCAACAACTGATGACTTACTCAACCACAGGAAACTCAAGCTCTCTACTAAAGGATAACATTATAAAGCTTTGTATGTGAGTTTAGGCTTTGCTCTGGAAATCCGTACTTCTTAGTACAGGTTGTAGTGCGACGAGAGTTCAACTAAACTTGACGAAATGGCTTGGAATCGCTACCAGAGAACAAAAAAAAACACAAATAATACTATCCAAAGGTTAGAGTTGTTTAATTGTTTACGGAGATCCAGAGCGGAGCCTAAACTCTCATACAAAACTTAATAATATCATCCTCCTATCGAGAACTTGAGCTCCCTCTGGTCTATCGCATATCAATTATTTGCCACTATGGCATTTAGATGATCGATCACTACATTACGTAACCAATCAAAGAACTTCGTTCACCACTCCACATGACCTCGTCCAATAACTGTCAGTTATCGGATATCCCAGAATGCCTACTTTGGTGTTTTTCACAAGTCAACTTCCTTGTCTACCGGTTTCCCCAGTTGCAAGGAATCAAATCATTATTGTGTAAAACCTTATGTTCAAAACTCATGAATCAAAATCAGCATAATATATTATGTTCTCTGACTCACCCAGTATTCTTCAGATCTTATGAAAGTTTTTTCAGCTTGTTTACTGGGAGAATTACGATTTTCAGCCATAGAGCCACCAGGATCGAGAAACTTCATAAAATTCTGAAAAGTGTTCCAAACAAAGGTGTTTTAATTAATTTTTCTAACTCAGTTGGCACCTCTTAGATCATTGATAAGATAACATAAGAACTTTATTTCCGTGTCAAAATCTCTAGCGTACCACGCACGCTAATTGGGGACACCTAATTACCTAGTACTAAAATTACTTTAAAAATTACAAGATATGAAATTTATATGTATGTTTGTGTATTTAAATGTTTAAAATGATTAGTTAATTATTACATAAGAAGTAGTCTTTACATTCGATGTCCAGTAGGCTATTAAAATCAACTTGTTTTATGCGTTTTTTAAAAGTTTCCAGTGAGTCAGACAGCCGAATACATTTTTTCGAGTTTTGACCATAGGACAGGGCCTAGGTACAACAGGCTGTGTTTACCGTATGCAACTGTCCTCCTATAATTCTTAAATTATAATGAGTATTTGTCCACAACAAACAGTAATTAACATAATATAAAGATCCCTGCTTGGAAGTAGCACCCACACTACATCTACAAACACATATTAGGAATTGGTTGTATACCGGATGCATGTTTATTTCATTACTTGGTTCTGGTTCCTCAGATTGCCAGCCATTGTCTGAACAACCTTAAGGATCCTCTGAATGCTACGTTTCAACAGTTTCTTCAAATTTAGCACTACAATGACACTAATTTTTAATCTCTGTGCAATGTTGAGTTCATATGACTTGTGTGTCTAACCTTGCAACTTATCCAAGTACTGCTTAAAAAGGATTTTGTGGCATTTACTCTTCGACTCTACTTAAATCAACTTGAGATTTATTTACAAATGCTACTGCTTATGGAACATGGGAGCACTGAGATGCCATAGATCTTGGCAAGCCATCCCACTTGGTTTGTGTCCAAAATTATTTCAAATGAAAAGTACTGGAAAATGTAGGTACCCGTATAATTCTAAGAAACCTAGCTAGCTACCCACCCTCTACATGGACAAAGAAGAAAAAAACCTCTTTTGTTGTTGAGACACTCCTCTACACATTCTTACCTCAAAATAAAAGAGGGGTCTTTCATTACTTGGACAAACCATTCGCGGTGAAGAGTTCAATCGCCTGAGGATTAAATTAACACCCACACCAAGTTCACTCTTGAAATGATACTATGTGATGTTTAAACAACAACCATTTGTGCACTTGAATGCAGAGGAGATTTGAAGGAATCTCAAAATATTGTCATCCTTCATTGGGAAGAATATAATACTCATTCACTTAAAAAGAAACTGCAGGAATGGTGTGTATAATTGTTATTGTAATCTGTGGCTGAAAACAACATATTTAATTGATATGAAAAGGTTGGCAGCCAAGTAACTTGCCTCTGAGCATCTGGAGGAGTAACTGGTGGAGAAATGGTCTATTTTAGCCCTATCCAGAGCACCAAAACCAAAATTGGTGATAGAACCATTCAAATTTTTCCTTGTTTGGCTGAGCCACAAGAACAACAGTTTACACATCAATCCAAATTATGTGTTGATCAGTTTGAAGCATCAACAATCCCCCCCCCCCTTCCCCAGGCAAACCCTAGACAACCACTCAGGCATTTTAACTTTTGAAGATTGGTTTGTTCAATTTTTTCATAAATAAAGGCAAAATTGACACCCATGACTCTCAACACTTTGACCAAGCTTTAAAACCTAGAAACCTAACAGACCTTTTCATACGAGTCATTTGCTAACAAAAGTGAACTGATTATCTTGCACACCTCCATATTTGAAGATATAACACCTATAATCTGCTGAAAAGACTTAATTGACATAACTCCACCCCAGCAAGGTCAGGTTAAAATTCACCACCCCAGTGGCATGGGTGAAAATCAAATGTCTGTGGATTGCCCAAGTAGGGGGAAGGGGGGTTGTTGAAGCTCGAAATTGATCAGTGCATAACAGTATGGTAATTATGACACTAATATAAAAGAGAATAATTATCTCTGTCAATACAAAAAAACTGTCATACTGTTTGTGTGGGCCCCCTGTGTTGATACATCCAGTAATTCTGTTGAGTGAGGTTTAAATGACTTGGCTTATATCCCTCTTAAGATAACCTATTCACCAGAGGTCTTTGATCTGCAACTAAGGAATGACTGGGATATTCCCAAAAAACAAAATCACTCAGGGCACAATTCACCAGTATGAAAAACACAGGCATGGTACACAATGCAAAAGAAAACTCCATTTAATCTCCAGGAGATGGTCAGTCTCCTTTTTTGCGCTCGGTCCGTACTGTCAAGACCTCGGGCCGATATTCTCCCAGTACGGCCCTCGCGCTTGGTTAATAAGATATATATACATTGAACAAAGAGAAAAGAATCATATTTCAGAGACTTTCACGTGGGTATCACAATGGGGGTGGGGGCTGTTTCCTACCTGGACTTTGACCCCTGTGTGTGGAATACCTGATAAAATGCAGGTTGTTTACAAGGAATTGACAAGTGATAGGGTGAAGAAAACAAACAGTTATTTACCCCTCTGATACTTAATTTTAATCTGCAAACATTAATAAAACAAATTTAAAAATTATTTAAAATTAATAGAAAATTATACAATCAAAAAACATTTAACTAGACAAAAAACAACTTTGCATAGCATCTAAAATTGAAATAAGATATCTTAATAAAGAAACTTACACTGTACCATTTTTTAATTTTCAATAGTTAATTACTATGAACAAATTAGTTGCACATCAGTCAAATTGATTGACTACGTAATACCTTAATTAAATCCCTAAAAACTTTACATATTAAATAAAAAAAGAAATTATAGATTTCAAATAAAAATTATTTGACCAAGTTAGATCCAGAGCAAGGGCTGCATGGGCTACATGACTGCTCTCACAGACTGAAGTGGTTCCAGTATCAACTAAAAACGACTTCTCACATGTAATGAATCAACCTTGTCTTTAGAAGTAACAAATCAACTTCATCTGTTAATTCATATTGAATCAACTTGTACACCTTTTGTTGCATTTATTGGGAAAGGCAAAAAATATGAATTGAAGATATAACACCTGGACCGTTGAACAAGAGAAACAAGTCAGAATTTCAACTTACCTGCAAAAAGCAAAATGGAAATTGTTGTGGTAATAAAACTGCTTATTTTAAGGGAGCATGGCAGAGCAAGATTTTTAACCTGTTCATTTCCCACTTCAGCACAACAAATTTCCAAGAATAAGGAAAATATGCTTAGATTGGCCCTCACCAGAAATCAAAATTATTGATGTCAGCTGAACCTGAGTTTGACCTGGCGTGACTTGCTAATATGACATCATTCACTGGGAGTCCAAATTCATTACAACCTGAAATGTTTTCATCACCATCCATTATTACTGCGATTGTGCTTCAGTCTTTAAATTCTTTCCTGAGAAATTTAAAGAGTATATTATCAGTAATAGAATTTCCATTCAAATTTAAATAACTTTCCCCATTAACATTAGAGGGAATGAGTTCGATGTGGAGTACCATCAGGCATACCTCAGAGCTCTTTAATTATCGGGTCATGTTAAGTAATGTTCATTAGTGACCCGACTGGAGCATTTATGCTCAGGAATACTGTGTTGTTATATGCTGATGCGTGCAAAACATCCAGGGTGTAGACTGTCCCGCTGACCATTCTATATTTCAGTCAGATCTTGATAATTTAAAGGCATGGCCGGTCCACAAAACCCCTTGGAGTGTAACAAAGAAATGCAAACTTATGCATATCACAAAAGAGAAATCACCTTTTTATCACAATTAGCAATAATGTTGCAATGCAATTAGCTAATTTGCTGTTGTCAATAAAAGTGCAGACAGTGCACTCATGTAAACATGTTGCACAACTTGTTGCTGGGAACACTCACATTAAAAACATTTTAGGTAAGGACCAAAAAGATCCTATGATAAGGAGCTTAAAAAAAGAACCAATAAAGGACTTGAGAATGTTCTGAGTGAATACGCTCAGAACTTTGTATCTTTCCCTAGTCAGATTGCAGTTGGAGTTTTTGCACTATTGTGTGGTTACCACACAAGCCATTCAGAAATATCACTATACTAGAGAGAATTCAGTGTACAGTGAACTAAGTTCATTCTGAAGACTGATGTTGCTTACAAGTAACAGAGATAAAAGCTCAACTGTTATCCTTATTTCTTTACATAGATTTCAATGGCTACTTGAAAAGAGATACAGTTTCAGTTCTCAGTCTCTGATATATATTCATTGATTGAATTAAAAGATGTATACACACTGAAGAAAAATTATGTCACAAATAGTTTGACTCTGACCTTGACTCTCCAAAGACCTTCAAATGGCTTACAGCTGTAGGTTGGTGGGTTCTTTTTCTCACCTTTTTCATATAATTATTTAACAAAAAGAGCCTGTTGTAAAGCAGCAAACAGGAAGTGGCTAGAGCATGAAAGAAGTGTAGGGGAGAAATGCAAGATGTACAGGAGGGTTTCTCCTCACTTCTTGAGTGCTCTTGCCACTTCATAAGACAGTGTTTTACAACAGAACAGAGTACAGTCAAGACTTCTTTATTTATTTCATAATAAAGAATCTGTCAAATTCCCCTCACAGTACTTTTTACATTAAAAACAAATTTTAATTCTAGAAGCCAGCAAAATTGTTGCCAGCATGTTTTCTACTCTAATGAAACATGCTAAAATAAATCAATCAGAATCCTTGTTAAAATGGTTCAAATGATCAGTTTCTGATTGGTTGAATGAGATCAAAGCTGTCAAAAATTTCAAACCATCAATCACAGTTGACAAACCATCAAAGTTCACAATCTACAAAACTTTACAACTGAAATTAGTTTGGCAGATTGAAATAAGTTTACTGTACAAAAGATAGGGTGCTTTCTGGAAAAATAGTTCTACGCATAAGTTACTTTTAAAGAACCATAGAAAGCTATATATCACTAAAAAGCTTATAAAGCATAGACTGGGGTTTGGTATATTTATAAACCTTTGATTGGTTCTTACGTTGCTACTTGCCGGCTTGCTTGTTCCAAAATTTCACTATCAATTAACACAGAAAAGGAAGAGTGAAGTCCAGCAAGTGGTTGGACATTGTACAAATTGGTGGATGGCATGACAAGCTTTAGCTCAGCTTCATGTTTTGTACTCTCACAGATGCTCTTTCCAAAAATGACAGCACTCATTATATCTGAACTTTAATTAAAAATATGCAAAGTTCTATTTTCACTTATTTTGCCATTAAATTGCAGTTTTAATGAACTGTGATATTGATAGAATGGATAGGAAAATAGTTTGACAGACATGTTTACGGAGGAATTGAATAATCAGTTGAAACACAAATTAGGTAGTCTTACCAAGTCTTGAAGACAACCACACACTACAATTATGGTATAATTAACAATTATTCCACGAGCGCGCGTTGGATATGAGATGATAGATAGCCAACGAGGCGCGTAGCGCCGAGTTGGCTATAATCATCTCATATCCAACAAGCGCGAGTGGAATAATTGTTTTATTAAAAACGTTAAAAAAGAATTATTAAATTTTATTAAAGTTTTAGCTCCTTTTTAATTTTAAGCTGACACGTACGCTTGCCATATTTGTAGATTATGGTATATTGGCTGATATACCATAACGGCTAAGCCAAAAGTCTAGAATT